CGACGCTCAGTCCAAACCAGCACGTTACAGAATATCATACACAGTGCAAGCAGACCCAGTTTTGTAGACAATATACGCAAACACACAGGAAAACCATGAGAACGGGATACAGAGATGTCAAGAGTAGTGACCGGGGCAGCGGGGGAGAAGGCGGGTATTTTCACTTTCTTCTTTTTAATTTACCAGCGTTTTTCTGATTTTCCTTCATGAGTATTACTCTGTGTAATGAAGTTGCTTTCAAAAATGTGTTAAACAAACAAGGGAATCCTTCATTGGGTTATTCGGCGACTCCTTCATTCCACCAACAAAAGTTTATTGAGCATCCAAGCTGTGCTGGATGCTCAATAAAAATATAAAACCCAGTCCTTGTCCCGGAGCACTCACCTGTACAGCCCCGGGTTCAAATCCCCACCCACTCTGCCACCTGCCAGCATCATCATGACCACAAGCAGATCATCTGCCTCCGTTTCCTCATCTGTACAATGGGACAATTCCCACCTCCTGCCTGCTGTGAGGCTTGAATGAGTTAATATGTGCAGAGCACTCAGCTCAGAGCCTGGCACACTGTCAGAGCTCCACAGGCATTGGCTGGGGTTGTCCTGCCCCCAAACCCAGCCCCGCCCTGTGCCATCCTCAAGGCCAAGCCAGCAGCTGCTGGCAGAGGAGGCCCCAGGAGGAGCTCCAGGCCGCTGCCTCCCCACCCCCAAGGCAGCTGCAGCCAGAGGACAGAGGACACATTATTCCCGGGGACAACTGCAGCCCCAGGGCTGCCAAGTGCCACCCCACCCCCCCAGCTCGAGTTGAGCAGAGGCTGTGCCATTCTAAGTCCACCCCTCCGGGCCTCAGGGTCTTGGTCCTACACACACCCACACACACACATACACACACACACACACACACACCACCGAAGCCCACAGGGCTCCAGTGTCTGGGGATCACCCTGGCCTCATCGTTGCCATCTGAGACGTGGGAGAGCTGGCGTCGAAACTCCCAGGCCCTCCACACACCCAGAGCCCTGGGGGCAAAGGCAGAAAAGATCTCAAGCCCTTCAACAGCTCTGATGTGGCCCTGCCCCATGGCTCTGAGGTGGGCCTCCACACTCCTCAGGGATGCCTAGGAAACCGAACCAGGCACCGTCCCAGTCCTCGGCACATCCCACACCCTGGCCCCGGCTGCGGCTCTCCCAGGGGGCTGCCACTGCATCCCCATTGCACAGATGAGGGTACGGGGAACCTGCAGACACAGGCCTGGCACGGCTCTAAGCCAGCGGTCGGCACACTTTCTGTAAAGGGCCGATGGAAAAACACTTCAGTCTTTGTAGGTCAGACGGCCTCTGTCCCAACTACTCACCCACCACTGTAGTGGGAATGCAGCCACGGACAGGACACGAAAGAATGGGCATGGCTGAGTGCCAATAACACTTTATTTACAGACCCACGCTGAGGGCCAGGTTGGAGCTTGCCGAGTTTGCCAACCTGTGCTCTTAACTCACATAATTGTCACAGCCCACCCTGGAAGTGAAAATATGGTTTTCCCCATTTTCCAGATGAGGAAACTAAGGTCCAGTGAGATTCAACGACGTGCCCGAGGTCACCAGCCACATAGCGATGGAGCCTTGGCTTGGAGGGCACAGGACGGGAGAGACCAGGCCTCATTCAGAACTCTCCAGAAGCGGGGTCACCACCATGCATTCATTCATCCCTCAGAACCATGTGTCTGGGCAGAAAAGCAAGAGTAAAATCCCTTCCAGGGTCTAAGACCCCCTGAAATTAGAGGCAAAACTGTGCACAGAAGACAGATCCCCTAGAGAAATACTCAGAAGGAGTGTGTGTGTGCGTGTGTGCGCACGTGTGTGCACGTGTGCGTGTGTGTGTGCGCGCGCACACGCGTGTGTTTGGCCCTAACTGCTCCCAGAGAGGAGGGCGGAGGGCAGACACAGGGGCTGCAAGCACCTGACCCCACACACGCCAGGCCAGAAGCAGCCTGTGCACCGTGGCATCTCCGGACCTTTGTACCAGCCACTCCCTCTCCCAACTGCACCTTTTTGCCACCTGAAATCAGACCCCCCCCCATCCACGCCCCCTCCTCCAGCCCTTAACTGAGATCCGCCCCTTCCCTCTGTGCCCCAGGGCACTTGGCTGGTCTCCCTCCACAGCCTCAATCATTTCTCAGGGTTCTTTTTTTTGCTGGGGGTGGCTGCGTTGGGTCTTCGATGCGGTGCGCGGGGCTTCTCACTGCAGTGGCTTCTCGTCGCGGAGCACGGGCTCTAGGCGCGTGGGCTCAGTAGTTGTGGCTCGCGGGCTCTACAGAGCGCAGGCTCAGTAGTCGTGGCACACGGGCTCAACTGCTCCACGGCACGTGGGATCTTCCTGCACCAGGGCTCGAACCTGCGTCCCCGGCATTGGCAGGCATATTGTTAACCACCGTGCCACCAGGTAAGTCCCATTTCTCAGGCTTCTTGAGACAAAAGGCTTTGGCGATATGGTTCCTGGAGCCCAGTCCTGCTACCTGCTGTAGGAAACCACTCTTCTGCCCACCTCTGATCTTCCACCAGGACTGAGAAGGGACGGAGAGGAGCACAGCAAGAACAAGGGCTGTGGACAGAAGGCTTTCGGGGCCAGGACACCCTGAAACAGTTCATCCAACCCAGGGATAATTCTCAAAATGACATGAGCAAAAAGAAGGCTTCCATCCCCAAACCCGAGAGGAGCAGCGCAGGGGTGAGACAAAGCAGTTGGCAACCGCTAGGAACTGCTGCAAAAGTCGCTGGAAACTTTTTCTTAAATTCTTGATGGGGAAAATCCATCTTCAATGACTTTTTCCTTAAGGTTCAGGCTTAGCTTTTATTCTAAGCAAAACCACACAGGCAGATCCATCAACTGACAAATAAAGTGTGGTCTCTCCATGCAATGGAATATGATTCAGAGTGACGTACAAACGCATGGTAAAACACAGATGAACCTTAAGAACATGATGCTGAGTGAGAGAAGCCAAACATAAAAAGCCGCATATCGCATGATCCCATTGATATGAAGTGTCCAGAACAGGCAAATCCATAGAGACAGAAAACAGATCAGTGGTTGCCAGGGGCTGCAAGGAGGAAGTGACTGTTTAATGGGTACCAGGTTTACTTCTGGGGTGATGAAAATGCTCTGGAACTAGACAGAGGTGGTGCCCAACACCGTGACTATACTAAATGCCACTGAATTGTTCACTTCAAAGTGGTTAATTTCATGTTACGTGAATTTCACCTCAATCTGAATAGAAGATGATGCAAGCCTGAAGGGCGCCGGGTGCTTTCTGCAGTGCTGAGTTTTCCAGGAATGGGACCAAGGGAGCCTGGCTACCGGGCCTCCAGATGGTTCTCCTGATGGCTGCTGGCCTTCATTTAGGCCCAAAGCCACAGGAGGAAAACAACAATCCTATACCCTCACCAGTCACCGCTAGGTAGCAGTCGGCACCATTTTCCCCATCAGACGCCCTCGGTGTAAAAATTCAGGCCAACGTGGAACAGGAAAAACTCATTATGTAAAATTACAGACACAGAGACAGCAAAAGCCTTGGGGGCTGGAGAGGACCCACTGGGGCTCCCCCTGTCTCAGACCCGGGAAAGGGCAGGGCCAGCCTCAGGCACCCACAGTCCTCTCCCCCAGTCACAATGATGGGCTCCAGGACAGGCATGGGCCTCAGTCAAAGGCAGGGAGATGAACGGCTTTGGCCTGGAAATGTGGAGACAGAGGGAAAGTTCTTTTTTTGGCCTTGAATGTGGGAAGGAGGAGGCCTGGAAACTCCAACTGCCTCCCTGTTAATACACCAAGGCCACGTGCAAGATGGCAGAGCCAAGAAATGCACAGAGATAGAGACCTGGTAACAGGTCACCTGGAACAAGCTGTGCCTGAAGCCAACAACCCCTCGATTTCAGTTATATGAGCCAGGACTCCTGCCTAAACCAGTCTGACATGGGTTTTCTGTCCCTTTCAGCCAACGGGGCCCCAACAGACAAAAGAGATTTTCAGAAATGGTGCTGATTCTAAAGTCCCAGAACAAAGTTTGGTGAATTCCAAAGGACGCCTCTGATGCCACAGGACTCCAGAGGCTGAAGGCCACAGAAGCATTATAAAACAGGACATTTTTATATTTCATATTTTTATATGAAAAAGGAACACAGCCGGGGCCGGTGGGGAGGGAGGTACTGTTAAAAAAAAAAAAAAGGGCCTCCCTGGGGGCGCAGTGGTTGAGAGTCCGCCTGCCGATGCAGGGGACGCGGGTTCGGGCCCTGGTCCGGGAGGATCCCAAAT